TTTTTTTTTTTTTTAATTTAAAATGCTTCAGTTAGGGACTAGTATAATGATACACCACGGTACAATTCCAGACAGTTAGCACTGTATTAACATTTCAAATATCAATTATCAATAAAACTGTTTGGTTATTGCACAAAAACTCATCAACCAAAGCAACAGTCTCCCAGACACAGGTGCGGAGGCACAGCATGCAGCAGGGGGTTGGAATAAGTCTGAGGAAAACTTAATCAAAGTTTGTCACCCTGTAAAGTAAATGTAATGTAAAACTTTCTCTAGTGAAAACACTACACGTTGTTCTGCTGGACCATGTGTCTGCAGCAGACTCTATTCACCCACTGCACACAGTAACACGCTTAGTCACCCAACCTACTATCACTTTCTTCTTATTTGTATATGTAAATTGTGCATTGGGTCATTGCATGTACTCAAATGCAACACATAAGATATTGTTTGATTGATTATGTGTGCGTGTGAGAGTCAATGCTAATGCACATCGGACATGGTTTCCATATGTTTACATTTAATGTTATTTTAATGTTGCTGCAAAGAGTAGTATTCAATATAAAAATGAACTATAGAATATAGTTAAGTATAGAAATGTACTTTTTGAACATTTCCAGCACATTTTAACAATACCGCGATAATAGAGATATAACATAACAGATTATTTTGGTCACTATAATCCTCTTATTAAAAGTTCATACTAGTTCATCATCATTGTTATTCCCGGTGATGATACGCACCTTAAGGTAGTTGAGGTGATAGTCCAGCAGTACTGTTGCATTGGAGATGCTTTCCTTGGTCCCCACAAATACAAATGGCACCATTCCCTGTGAGAGGGTCAGAATAGAAATAAAGATTGTCTTGCATCTTGTTTATAGAGCTGTTTGTTGTGTTGGTAAGTAGGCAGATGCGTTGGTCTTTCCCTTCCCACTGACCTCGTCTGCTGCTGCTGCCGCTGCTGCTGAGGGCTTCTTGTCATTCTCAGGCTCAATACGAACCCGCACCACCCCAGACTTATCAACCACTTCCTGGATCAGCTTTCCGTTTTTGCCAATCACCTTCCCTGTGAGGGCAAAAACATCATCAAATCGAATTGAAGTTTAATACCCTGGCTAGTTAGGTAAAGTTCAAGTTACGGCATGAAATATCATCATCAGCTGAGTGACTTTCTCACCTACTAAGTTCCGGGGAACTTTGATAACATCTTCAGAGAACTCCAGGAAACTCCTGGCAATGCGTACAGCATCCTGGTCCTTAGACAAACAAGAATAAAACAAAAATACTATAACTTCAGTCATAAGTTCCTTATCTCACCCAAATTTATCTTTAACATAAAAGTACAAGAACAAGAAGATTTAAAACTTGTTTTTCCAGACCATGCAGTATATGTGGAATCTAAACCTCTCTACACTCAGGTCTGTTCTTTCCAAAAACAAATCCATGGACATTAGCGTCAGCAGAGCTATCCTACCTCTCCGTATATGTGAAAGGTGCACGTCTCCTCATCCAGGTCTATGTTAGTGACTCCAGGGACTTTTCGTGCTTGCTGAATGTTGGCTCCGTGAGTCCCGATAGCCAGCCCCATTAAGTCATCCCGAACCACAAACTGTTCATGAAAGCGTGACGCGAGCTGCCTGGAACTCTGCCGAATCATAACGAGAGGGACGAACAGGAACACATGAGCAAAAACATCTTCAGTGCCACGACAGAGTAAGTAGGAGTTTAGTGATTCCTGCTGGGCAATCCTTTAGTAAAGCTATAATCACCTTTAACTGCAAAATGATCACATTATACAAATATTTGAAGAGGCAGTCGTCTGTAAGGCTTGTTTGTGTGTGTGTGTGTGTGTGTGTGTGTGTGTGTGGTCTCTCTAGTTCCATC